CCGTTCTATCTGTTCAGCTGCTTTATTTACTCATTTTAAAAGGAAGGGAAAAGAAAAAAAAAAGTGGAGGGGAAAAAAAAAAAAAAAAGAAAAGAAAAGAAGGAAGTAATGTTTCTCTCCCAAAGCGCGCTGCAAAACATTCTTGGTAGACATGGAAACCCCTGGCAGGCTGCCAGCCCTTGGCAGGTCTCCGCAATTAACATTTCAGCAAGCAACTCAACCCTGGAATGGCTTTTAGGGAATTTAAAGACAAACGGCAGCCACAACGGGCCACGGGAATTGCTGCTCCCCGTTGTAGGCATCGGGCTTGTTCCTTGGTTTCCCTATGGGGAAGCTCGTCACCCTCCTGTGTTACTCAGAGCAGGCAAGCTGTGACAGAGCAGGGTGGAAATGATTGCAGCCTCCGCACTTCTGCAAAAGAGATTTCCTAGCCACAGCCTGCAGGAACAGAGGGTAACCTTCAAACAGACACAGGGAAGCTGCAAGGACAAAGGGGAATGCATTTGACCATGCACTGGGGATTAAACAGCAGCAGAAGGTATTTAAGAAGCTCTGCTCCTCCCCTGCCCTAGGGCTGCCTTCTCTTTGCTCACCGTTGTGTTGGAGAGCAATGAGGAACTGGGAGCATGGGCTGCTCTGCCTGGAAGTCTGAGAGCTCAGAGAGCAAGAAAGTGTGTGGGCTTTGGACCTGACTGCTCTGGGAAGAGAGAGAGAACAGAGAAAGCCTGCACAAGAGCATGGGGTCTTTGGGGGTGGGTGGGCAGGCAGGGATGATCCCACACTTAAGCAGGAGAGGAGAACCAGTTCCTCAGACTTCCATCAACAGTGCAAACAATTTTGTGATGTGTGAGTGAGCATGAATACAACAAGCCAGATGCCCAATGCAAATGCATTTGCATTAGAAACCTCTTGTCAAGAATCCCTATTTCCATGGTATATCAAAGCTAGAAAGAAGCAAGAAGTCTTGCTGCCCTACTTTCTACTTATAAGCATAAGGCATTTGCCTGGAATACCTGGCCTTGAATCTCCCATGGCTTTTTGTCCATAAGTCCAAAAGCAGGCAGGCAGTGAAGAAGCCCCAGAGTGAAGAAGATGAGGAAGCAGGAGCCACATCTCCATCCACATGCAGTGGCTTGACTGCAACACAGAGTAAAATTGCATGGTTCAGGTCTGCTACATTCTCCAAAGCAACACTATGGTGCAGCAACACCAGCATCCTGATGATTAACAAGATGGCATGTCTAACAAGATCCGTATTTCTCAAAAGGATGCAAAAGACACAGGTGATAAGTAGGAAGCTGTGGTTTCACTAAAGACTGGTGGTCATCTACTAACCAGTGAGTACATGAAAGCATGTGCAATCTGGACTATTACAAACCTTATCTGATGAGCTGTCAGTGCTGGTAGGGTTGTATGTTGGAAAAGACAAGCATTTCCCCTCTTTGCAAAGCCCACTTCCTCACTATTGCTAATTTTGCAAGTTTTGCAACACTTTTTCTATCTGCAAAGGATCCTTGAGATGCCAGATGGCCTAAGTAAAAGTAAATGTTTGCATGGGAGTTTCCTTGTCATGAATAAAAATTATTACAAAGTAAAAAAAGAAAAAGAGAGGAACTCTCAGTGCTCAAAGAGATAGTAGGTCAACATTTAAAATCCCAACAGGAGATTCTGCTCTGACTTGCTGACTGTGTTTCCAAGTTGTTTCAAAGGAAGAAGTCTGGAGATTGAAGGGGAAAAAAAAAGTGCTTTTTTTTTTTTTCCTCCTGAAAACTAAAGGGGGCATTCAACTTCAGTGACCCATATATTGAATAAGAAGTAAAAACACTATCAAATTTGTCTGTGCTATTTTTGCATAGCTCTTGGTACAAAGGATCCCCAGCAGCGATTTGATGTCACAGCAGTAGGGAATTCATAGTCTAACCTGCTCTGTGCATTATGAAAAAAACCCAACCTCCTTGCTAAAGCAGGTTTCCTAAAACAGGTCACACATGAAAGCATCCAGGAAGGTTTTGAATATCTCCAGCGAAGGAGACTCCACCACCTCTCTGGGAAGCCTGTTCCAGGGCTCTGACACCCTCACAGTAAATAAGTTCTTCCTCATGTTCATGTGGAAGTTCCTGTGTTCTAGTTTGCACCCACTGCCATTTGTTCTGTCACTGGATGCTGCTGAAAAGTGCCTGGCCTCATCCTCTTGGCCCATGTCCTTCAGGTATTTATAAGCATTGATCAGATCACCCCCCACAGCCTTCTCCAGGATGAGCAGCTCAGGGCTCTTAGCCTTTCCCCATCAGGAGATGCTCCAGGTCCCCACCGTTTCCACAGCACTCTTCTGGGCTCTCTCAAGTAGCTCCCTGTGTGCTTGGAACTGGGGAACCCAGAACTGGACCCAGTGCTCCAGATATGCCTCCCCAAGACAGACCTGAAGGGAAGAATAACCTTCATCACCCTGCTGACCATGCTTATTGCAATGCACCCCAGGGTTCCATTGGCCTTTTTGGCTACAGGGGCACACTGCTGGCCCATAGACAGCCTGTTGATCCAGTCCTCCTCTGCAGAGCTCCCTTCCAGCAGCTCAGCTCCCAACCTGAACTGATGCATGTGGTTATTCCATCCCAGGTGTAGGACAGAATGAGATATAATGACTTTAAGTTGTGCCAGAGGAGGTTCAGGCTGGATGTTAGGAAAAACCTCCTCTCAGAAGGAGCAGCCAGGCTGTCCAGTAAAGCAGTGGAGTCACTGTCCCTAGACCAAGGAACAAGAACCATGGGGATGACATTGAGAGACATGAACAGTGGGAATGGTGGGGTTGGGCTGACATTTAGACTACAGGTCTTTTCCAGACTTAATGTTTCTATGACTCCACACTTGTCCTTGTTGAACCTCATGAGGTTCTTCTTTGCCCAAATCTTAGCCTGCCAAGATCAAGCAAGAATTACCCCAATATCATCCTTCCTCCTTTCGCAGGGAGGATAGCTGGTAAGATTTTATCCAACATCACATTTTTTAAATGAATTACACAAAAATTCAGCATCTCCCTGACCTTTATCCTTTGGCCAGTTTCAGCTGCATTAAAACACCAGAAGCAAGACTTTAGAAGTCCAGTGGAGGAAGGGTAAAGCAGTGAAAGGTAGAAAGGTTAAGAACTACTACTACAACAACAACAACAAACATGGAAATCAGCTCAGTGAACCATTGTTTGGGATCTCAGAGCCCCAGATGGGATTTTCATAGGATCAGGGAGGACCAAGCTGTGCAACTTCTGACAGATGCATGATTTTCTGCCTCAGTGCTGCCACCATCTGTTATTGACGAGGCCAACCACGCAGCATCCTGCCTCCCTTTTCAACCTATTCTTCCATCAATTTTTAAAGAACACAATTTTCCATCAGCTCGTGGGTGGGAACACAGCAGTGAGCATTCACTGTAAAAGTGTGTAAATGCAGCAGAGAACCAAACTGCTGCTCTTCCTCCAATGTGATGGGCACACCACCATCTTTCCACTCTCCTCCAGTCTTCACAATTTAATCAATAATGCCTTAAAGCTCGCCTACCTATTTGAGCTTATCAAATATTAATTGTCTATTTAGCTATTTCTCCTGAAATTGTGCTCAATTCAAATAGAAATTCAAATACAATACAGTAGCAGAAGTGACCACAGCTTCTCGGATCTCATTACTTGTTTTCTTACCAAACCCCCCCAACTTCTTCCAGCAAAGAATACTATAGCAAGTTAATTTGGGTATAGGAGAATAAATTTAACTCAAAATACAGTTAACTCAGTTGACTCAAAAAATTTTGGAATTTTTATTGTTCCAAAATAAAGTAGGATGGGACTGATACAAGGCGTTGAGTGGCTGCATCATCTGGAGTATTGCACCTTCCAACCCAAGCCATTCTGTGATTCTGTGATCATATTTCAAAAGCAAACAAGGTCACCACTTTTGATTTCTTTCTTTTGAGTTCTTGGCAGTTTTATGCTTCCTACAGCAAAGGAAACTGGAGAGTTATTTTTAAACAGTTTTGTGTTTCCTGGTGGCTTTCTGGTAACTTCACTTCAAAGTACCTTTGATAATCCATCTCCTAAAACTATGGGGAAAAAAAAGTATTCCTAGTTTAGCACTCAATTGTTCCTCTGAAATAAGAAAATTATAGCTGGAAAGTTCATAAAACTCATAGAGTCAATAAGGATAGAAAAGACCTCTAAGATCATCAAGGCAAACAATCAACCGCATTCCCACCATGCCCACTCATAGAATCATAAAGGCTGGAAAAGACCTCCACCAAGAACATGAAGTCCATCCATTGACCCATCACCACCATACTAAACCATGTATCTCTAGGTGAAGATGCTCAGTGCATTCATCTGGACTCTGTCTGTTAAGATTTCTTTAGCAGAGCTTTTTAACCTGTTTCATCCAATCACTCTCCTCCTCCTCCTCTTCACTCTGTGGCCAAAGGCAGAAGGACAACACAGCTGAGAGTCCTACACTCCCTCAAATCTGTGCTTTCCTTTTCCATCTCATCCAGAAAAAATTCCCTAAGCCCTTTAGCTTTAGCTCCTATTGCCAACCATGCGTAGAATGATAGAATGGTTTGGGATGGAAGAGATCTTTAAAATCATCCAGTTCCAACCTGCTGTAGGCAGAGACACCTCCCTCTAGACCATGTTGCTCACAGCCCCATCCAGCCTGTCCTTGAATGCTTCCTGGGAGGGGGCATCCACAGCCTCAGTGGGCAACATGTTCAGTGTCTCACCGTCCTCACAGTAAATAATTTCTTCCTAATAATCTAGCCTAAATTTCTTCCTAATATCTAGTCTATGCAGATGCTCTTCCCAGCTGCCATTCACTCCCTCCAGACTTAAAGATCAGATGAAGCTGCAAAGTGCAGCAACACATCCCTCCAAGGTCCTCCAGGGATGAAAAAAAAATGCTTTTAAAATCCAGAGACATCAAATGCTCATCTCTAGTAATACTGGACTCTGCTTGCATAGGATTGCTATGATCTGGTGATGCATCAGCTTGGCTTACAGCCCTATTTCATTAGGGGAAGAGACTTCTCTCGGGGAAGAAAACAAGAGCAGGAGAGCTGGAATCAGTCAGGCAGCTGTAAAGAAGGAAAGAAAGCCACAGTTTCAATGAGTGGACTGCTTTCCTTGCGAGGAGCAGCAGGAGCTCCAAGTGCATTCCCTGCATCCATCTCTACAAAGCCCAGCTGGAGAAGCAGCAGAGCACTCTGTAAGCGACACCAATCTAATTAATTAATGACTTTCAGCGTCAGCTCTGTGGCTGCTGGGCTAGCAGGAAGGCAGTAACGAAGGGCTGGGACAGCACGCAGCGCATCTGGTAAATGCTGCGTGCTGCTGACAGCCAGCTCAGTTATTCATCACCTCTCCTGCTTTGGGCTACAGCACAGAACAAGTCAGAGATTATTCCGGGCAGAGAAGATGGTGTGGGATCCACCCTTGCAGCATCCTCTCTTCTGGATGAGGTCTTCCTCCCTCTTCTTGTCATGCTCCAGAGCTGCCGTGGCACAGTTAATTGAGGTAAGGAGCAACAACCTGCTTTGTGGATTAGGGGTGGCCAGGAATCCTGTTTTTTTCCATGCAAGGGTGAAAATCGGGGAATTTAAGGTGGCTCTGAGGAGATAGAGGCTCCTTCAGGCAGTGCTTGTTGCTTTCCTCAGGCCCAGCACTTTAAAGGAGCTGCTTTTAAAGCGCCAGCAGCTGGTGATCATAGAATCATGGAATCAGTAAGGATGGAAAAGACCACAATGGGCATCTAATCCAACCCCCAAACCATCCCACTATGCTGACTGTGTCCTGCAGTGCCCCATCTTCACAGTTCTTAAACAGCTCCAGAGACAGTAATTTCACCGCTTCCCTGGGCAGGGCATGATGATTGATCACAGGTGGCACTCAGTGCTCTTTTAATCCCCAAAGGTGGATTTGAGGCAGCATGAAAACTCACAGTACAGCTCTTCCAGCCCCATGCTGCCTTTCCAATAAATTCTGTCAGTTCTGTCCAACAAGTGCCCCACATCAGGCACTCAAGGAAAAAGGACCAGGTTTGACCCAGGTGATCCCGTCCATGAAGGCACCTGTCCAGGTTAAGTGGTTGTGCCACAAGTTTGTCCCTGTACCTTCCCTCATTTCCTCTAGTTCAACCAAAATGTTAGCATTGGAGGTTATTCTTCTCACCCACAGCTCATTCAGCCATCCAGAAAGTCTAGGAATAAACAAGAGGGAAGAACAGATTGCACTCTGACAGCATCTATAACTTAATTGCTGGTACTTTCAGAAGCAAGAGAGCCCCCAAAATTATAGCTACCAAAAATTTTGGAGAGGTTTTCAACTTCTTGATTGCTTTTCCTAGCTAAAAGGCTGAGCCATGTTAGAAAAAGGTCTGAGGTCAGAGCCCCAGTGCTCTGGTGCTGAAGAGCATTATCAGCATGTTCTTACAGCAGAGCTCACTTTGCTCACATTCCTGATGTTGGTTATGCTGTTCAAATGGCCATGCTGATGCAGCCATGTCTGCATGAAGAGAACTAGAAGAAGAAAATATAGTTTCATCATGTTAGATCTTAGCATCCTTACCTGTTTTGCCTCTTACCCAGCCTCACATCAAGCTGGATCCAATCTCTGCAGCCTTTAGCCTGCACATTTTAACACTTTACCACCAATGCATCAGAAGCAAAAAAAAGCTGTGTTGAGTTCATATCCCCGCCCCATCTTCTGCCTCATCTCTGTCTCAATTTAAAGTTACTTAATACGGTATTTTCAAACAGCTCTACCAAACTCATCCTATCTGACCATGGTATAACACCCCCAGCAAGCCAAACCAGAGCCTGAAAGCTCGTTTGGAAAATGCACACAAACTGCTATAGGCATTTTCCCAATCTGTTCACCTACAGCAGCTCTCAAGGTGACAAGCCAAGCAGAACTTTCTCTTGTGGTGCACATTTGACAGAGTATGCTTCACTGAAGCTGAGTCACTGTGCAGACACAGATTCCACCCCACCAAAAAGATTTTTATTTTTTTTTTTTAAACCTTTCTTGCCATTTCCAGCACCCAGACAACCACCTGAATAAGCAGCCTGATGCTTTCTGTTTGAAGATAGATATTTCATAGACACACACTTTCCAGGATCTGTCTTCATGCCAAAGCAGAGCAAGGATAAATGTCAAAATTAGGCAGGCAGTTATAAAACAGGTCTGACTTTCTGATCTGTTTTACTTATACCAGACTCTTGGAAACATGTTCATTATATCATGCTGGGGAGAGCAAATCTCATCTGGAAACACAAGCTGCTCAGCAGGTTAATTACCAGATAGCCAAAAATGGGATTAGATGAACAGCCAGATTCTGTATTTCATAGAATCATAGAACCATTTGAGTTAAAAGGGACCCTTAAAGGCCACCTAGTCCAATTCTTGCAGCAAACAGGGACATTTACAGCTCAATCAGACTTAAGGCAGATGAATTACATTTCTAAAGCTTTGCAAGGATTTTTTATTGTTATTCTTATTTTTTTTTTTTTAAACTTCAAATAATTACACAATGTAGTTATTGTGAATAATTCAATTTGTGCTAAGCCAGCCTGCTGGAGCAAACAGAGAGAAGGTCAAAGACAGCAGAGCATATCAGTGAGCCCAAAAGAAAAGCAAGCAAACCCACAGTAAGGTGGAGTGAAGAAACAAGATGCTCTTGGTTAGTGATTCCAAGCATTTCTAAATGTGCATAACTGTATGCATATTCCACTGAGAGGAAGCAATGAGAGCCTCCCATTATCCAGTCTAATTGCACTGACAAAGAGCTTTTCTCTGCCCTTGATATTTTATCTATGTATATCCAAGGCAAAAGTTAAGATTTGCAAACTGCTTTTGGACCAGGTACATTTGAAATTAGCTCAGTGGGTTGTCCTGGACCTGCCTGTTTGGTGCCCTAGGAGCATCCCTATAAGGTGCCTTGCTGAGACCAATGCTTCAGCCAGAGCTGGGGGCTCTTCTCCAAGAACATCTTGTCCAACTTCAGCTGTAGCTGTACAGATCAGTGAAGACAAACACCCATGTGGCTTTATCTAGATGACTCTCATACCCCACATGTAAAACGCATTCACAAGCTCAGAAGTTATCAGGTACTAGATAAGTTTCTGGGTTTGTCTGGAGCTTCTCAAAGAAAAGGGAAAAATCTGTCTCTAGGAAGTCATGTAAAAAAGTCTCCAGAAGCTTCATCAAACTAGAATCATGGAATCACAGAATCATATAACCATTAAGGTTGGAAAAGACCACTAAGATCATGTCAACCCCACCTACGGCAGTGGGGTTGGAACTAGATGATCTTTAATGTCCCCTCCAACCTAAGCCATTCTATGATCATCCAGTCCAACCCCAAACCAACCCCCACCATGCCAACTGACCACATCCTTCAGTGCCACATCTCCACGCTTCTTGAACACCTCCAGATGACCCCACCACCTCCCTGGACAGCCTATGCCAGTGCATTACCACTCTTTCTCAGAAGAAATTTGTAGCTCATTCTTTCTATTAATATAGTAAGAATAGTAATGATGTTTCTGGTCTTCCTACATTCTAGCTTGGACTACATGCAAAAGATGTAGCACAGATTCAATAGTAGGGCAAAGATATTTATTCATAGCTTCAGTTTATATTGTATATAGCCATGTATTGTTGGACTCGAGGGACAGTATCCCTCATTTGTAGCCTACAAGTGATGTGATGGATGGGACTGTATGCAATACCTAAAAAATGCTCAGAGGTATGATTATAGTTGAAGTAAAAATAGATAAAATTACAGAGTGGACTCCTGAGGTTGATTTCCCATGTGAATGCATATCTTTAATTCAAAGCTTACCACAGAAGAACAAGTAAGAAAAATAATAGTACAGGAAGGCATGCACAGGAGGCACAGATGATGATTTAAGAGCATTAGCTTTAAGAAATGCATCTTTAAAGAAGATACAAGTATTTCAGGATAGCTGGAATAAAAATACTATAGAAAATTACAAAGTTTTTTTTCCAGAAAATTCTTTGTCACAGCCACCTTAGAGAGGTTCTGAGAGAGGGATGGAGGACTCATAGGGTGCAAAGTTACAGAGCCTTCCCAGGTCTCAAAACATGTACTTCAGGAAAAAACAGACATGCTCTCAGACCAGCCTACTTACTTGCAGGGGTAGGGCACATATGAATCAATGCATGGTCTCTGCTAAGAGTAATCCTAAATGCTATAGTGATGCTAAAGAGATTGTCCTGTGATTGCTGCCATTCTCGGATGTAAAGAAGCATCTGAGTTCAAACTTAAATTCACAGGATTGTGAATTGGTCCAGGTATGGAAAAAAAAAAAAAAAGTTCCAGAAAGGAATGAGGGAGGCTGGAGGGCTGAGAGCACAACAGAGGTCCTTCAGCCAGCACAAGAGCTGTAAGCAAGCCTCACGAACAGGGCAGCAGCAAACCTACACTGTGATCTAATGGCAGACACCAGATTTATCAGCTATCACTGTCAAATCATCATAGTCAATCTTTTTTATCCCCCAATCTATACCAGCATATTAAGCAAGTAGAGCTCCTGTCTCCAGCAGCTATCTCCTTCCCACAGGGGCCGATACCTTTGCTGGCTCCTTACCCTGCCCCAGCTCCAATCACCACTGACAGTTTCTCTGCTTGAAATGAATCAGAAACGAAGCAAACTGGAAAATTTTCCTGTTAGAAGAATCAGTGTCAAACTGTTCTGACCTAAATATGCAACATGCCTGGAAATTATTTAGTGCTCTGGGGGTTCGTGGATGTTTTACAGCGCCAAGAGCCCAGTGTCAGCTCAGCTCCTGCTTCTCATGGAGTTGGTTTCTGCCTCCCTCCCTGCCTTTGCTGGGCACTTGAAGGAGCTGTAAAAGCAATGCTTGCACACAATGCAGAGGTCCTCTCTTCTAAGACACAAAGAGATCATAGAATGTCTTATGTTGGAAGGGACCTCAAGGATCATCAAGCTCCGACCCCCCCACCACATGCAGGGCCACCAACCTCCCCATTTAATACCAGACCAGGCTGCCCAGGGCCCCATCCAACCTGGCCTTGAACACCTCCAGGGATGGAAGGGGCATCCACAGCCTCTCTGGGCAGCTGTTCCAGCACCTCATTGCTCTCATAGTAAAGAATTTCCCCCTGATATCTAACCTACATCTTCCCTTCTTCAACTTAAAACCATTTCCCGTTGTCTTGCTATTATCTACCCTTTCAAAGAGTTGGATCATGTGTCACCTTCCTGGCCTCCATGAAACTTGGGGCCATGGTATCCAGCAGGATTTGGAATGGATCACAATCTATGATTCTATGATCTTGTGCCTTCAGAGGTTGGGGACCTCTGAAAAAAAGAACTGGAAGTCAAGGGTGGCATTTACCTGATCCAAACTGGGCATCCTGGAATTCAACACTCAAATTTCAGCTAGTGACTATAAACTCTGTCAGTAAAAAGAAATGTTCATTTATTCATCAGATCTAGATAAGTTGCCTCACTGAGGTGAATAAGTCTGTGTAACTGCTGCTTTCTTTTAGCCATAAAGCAAATCAAGAAGAACCAGCTTAAACTTAATTACTTGTACTGCACATAAGTAAAGGCAGAGGCATTTACTTCAGAGAGAGAGACCTAGACTGAAGGTTAAGACAGAAATATACATAGCTAATGACATCTATTGGGAGACCTCATTGCAGCCTTCCAGTACTTCAAGGAAAGCTTACAAGCAGGAGAGGGGGCAACTTTTTACATGGGCAGATAGCAACAGGACAAGGGTGAATGGCTTTAAATCAAAAGAGAAGAAATTTAAGTTAAAAGTTAGGAAGAAATTCTTTACTCACAGATGGTGAGGTTGCTGGCACAGCTGCCCAGAGAGGTTGTGGCTTCCCCATCCCTGGAGGTGCTCAAGGGCAGGTTGGTTGGGGCCCTGAGCAGCACAACCTGGTAGTGGCAACCTGCCTATGGCAGGAGGTTGGAACTGGATGATCTTTAAGGTCCTTTCCAACCCAAGCTGTTCTATGATTCTGTGGTCAACAAGTGACTTGAATGCCCCAGTTTCCATGGGAGATGTAGTCAATGCAGTCCAGTTATTCTACAGTCCTGCCAGGAAGGCCCAAAGCAGCAGTCTATCTTTGGGCTTAATATTCATAATTGGTGCTGGGTAGGAGTTGATTTCACCTTTCTCAGTACAGCAGTCTAAATCTTATTTTAGGCTTTGTGCTGTACACTGCCTGCTTTTCATCTGTGCTCTCTGGAGCAGCAGATCTTCCATAAAGATTACATAGGATATTTACTAAGGTTTTCATCACCTTCTTTACATTTAAGCTTATGCTACTTCAGTAATCCATAAGATACTTTTTGCTACAACACAACTATGCACTCTTTCAGCACAGAGCTTACAGGGAGCTTTATAACCTTTCATTTACTCCTTCCTGCTCAATTCTTTTTCCTCCTGCATTCCCAACGTTTTCCATATTCCTGGAGACGGTGCCCAGCTACTTATGTGGCAGGAACACTGCAGTGAGGCTAACCTCCAACATTTACATAATCTTTTTAATATATATTTGCTCATCTGCTTGCCCACCAAACCCATCCTTATTCCATTATTACTTGGGTATTGCTAATGCTGCTTTTCCCTGCATCTTCTATGTTCCTAACACCCTCCTGCAGCTAATGACAAAGCTTAATATCTCTTGCAGAAATTTTCTCATCTGACTCCAGTCTTCTGGAATCTGTAATGCATGGTACAGATAAAGCAAAGCTGTTTTTCATCCTTCTAACTACAATGTCTTCATCCACCTGCACATCCTGCACCTCTGGAACACACTTGTGACCAAGGGCACAAGTTCACTCTTTACAGAGCTCTAAGTACTATTTCTGTGAGCTTTTGGTTGGTTGGCTTTCCCCTTTGGAGCTTTGCCTTGTTCCACAATTTCATCTTTCCTTTGTTTCAACTCCTTACATCTTTTCCTTTTGCCTCCGATCCAATCACTCTTTTATCTTGGCATTTATTGCCAAGCACATACCAGTAACTCCAAATCTTAACACTTCTTGTCAAGCACAAGTCAACAGCTCCACTTTCCTACAGCTCCTAAAAATTACTTTCCTCAAGATGTTTTTTTTTAACTCCTGCTTACTGCTTTGCAATCTCCAAAAGCTAAGAGGTTTAAGAATGGGCCGGCACTGCATCTTTCCATCCACTTATGAGTTTGGAAAGCTTTTTCAGTCAAGAGGTGTAGCAATGCAGACTCAGCCCTCTGTCACTGAGTCCCATTGCATGCACATAGCTACAAATGAGCAGTGATTTATTAAGCTGCAGTAGCTTGATTACTGTGCTTCAGTAATTTCATTGCATATTTCAGCCCTCAATGCACATTATAAAAACACAATAAAGAATGTCATTAAACATCTGCATGAATGGTCAGGACTCAGCAGTAGTCTGGCTTTATGCTCTTTCCCCTTGAACTTTTGTCTAAAAGATTCAACATACTTTGCTACTTTATGTGCTGGTTTACATCAAGAACTTTTGTGAAACCAAGGAAAGTAGCAGAGATCTTCAACTTTGCTTTCTCTTCTTCCCTGCAAAGCAAGTTCAGTCTCGTTTAAAGACACACTTTTCCTTTTCCAGAAATATCACCACAATAGGCCATAAATTGGTGGTAAATGCTTCAGCCACAAATCTTCCTGCTACGGATGGTAAGACCATGCATCTTTGGGTACTTAGATCTCTATCTCACCTACTCTCTGTTTACTCATCCAGCAGTTTGTTCTTCCTGCATTACTGCAACTGAAGAGCCTTTAATTATCAAAATACTGCCTACTCTATGCTCCACCTCTGACGTTTTCTGCATACATGGTGCAGCAGTTAAAGGAGGATGTTCCCACGTGCCACATCTCCCTGGTCTTGAACACCTCTAGGGATGGTGGCTCCACCACCTCCCTTGGCAGCTTGTGCCTGTGAATTACCATTCTTTGAGAATACATTTTTCCTAATATCAACCCTGAACCTCCCTTGAAACAACTTCAGCCCACAGTTTCCTTTGCCCAACAGCTTTCCCCTCTACATCTGTTTCCCTTTCTCAGCTGCCCATCAGAAACAAGTCTGGCAGACCCATCCTTTGGAGAGCTATGATTCCTGAGAGGGTGAAGTCACACTGAGTGCTTCACATAAAACAAACATCTTTGATTCAGGCTAAGGCTACACAAAGAGTATCCTAAAGGGTTTGGAAAAACTCTGAAGAATTCCTATAGTTGAAAATAGATGTCTTTCAGCAATGACTGTCACAGATTCTTACCTCTTGTTTCAGATATCCCTACAAGACTACATCATTCTGGTCAGATATTCTTTCTCCCTTCATTTAGCTGCAGCAGTTCTAGGTTTTGAGCATTAAATGCTCCACATCTAGCCTCAGCACTAGGGTAAGGCCATGCAGTGCTGAGTAACTAAGGCACCTTGGAGGAAAAAAAAAACAAAAGACAAAACAAAACAAAAAGCTCATGCAGCAGTCCTACCACTACAAATGAGCTCTGAATAGGATCCCCTGGGAGCCAAAGCACTCCAGACTCAACGGGAAGCATCCTTCATTAGGAATAATCTAAATTATGATTTGTATTGCACAAATAGGCGAGTAATTGGAGAGCAGCTCCAGCTCTCTAATATCCATTACAGCTGTGTTTTAACAATGCTTTCATGGCCTGAGAAGGGAAGGCACTGCAGGGAGCAAGACATGCATTTTTTCAAGCCTGGCCTTGAATGCATCCAGGGATGGGGCATCCATAACCTTTCTGGGCAACCTGTTCTAGTGCATCATCACCTTCTGAGTTAAAAATTTCCTCCTAATATCTAACCTAAATCTCCTTGTCTCAGTTTAAAACCATTCCCCCTTTTCCTATCACTATCAACCCATGTAAACAGTCTTTCCCCCTCCTGTTTATATGCTCCTTTCAAATACTGAAGACTTCCAAGAGGTCTCCCCAGAGCCTTCTCTTCTTCAAAGAGAACACTTCATAGTTCTCTAGACATTCAGAGCGCAGACACCAACTCACACTGAGGTATAAGCTTGGAGAAACTCCATGGTAGGGCAACTGGAGACAAAATAAATTCAGGTCCTTTCTTGCAGCCCTGTTGCCCCTTGGACAAATAATATGCCCCACAGCAGCTACAGCAGGTAGATCAGTTCCTGCAGTCAGTGCGAGTTTCATGAGCAGAGAAAAAGTGACTGGCACGAGGTCCAGAAGGGAATGCCCATAAAGAAGGATACAGACTCAATAGCTTCCAGTGCCAGAACTCCAGCTTGAGACAAGCAGATTCCACTTCTGCAAGCAGCTCTTACCAGAGTATTGCACGATGGGAAGAAAATTAAAAGAAGCAACCAAACTCAAAGGTCAGCATTGAGCTTTATAACATCTGTCCTGTCTGTTCTGGCAATAGTTCTGCAGTGTTTCTCCAGGGCTCAGGAGCAAGATGCTCTCCAGCCTTTGAGAGCATCTCACACCTAGAGGTCTCTGGTTGCTGGGGCCAAGTGAGAAAGAGTGCAAGGGCTGAGCTACAACCCATGGGAGCTACTTTAGCCTTTAAGTTCTTGGCCCTTGCCTGTGCCTGGCCATGGATTTGCTCCATCTCTACAGGTTCATCTGGTTGTCTTAATTCTCTATTCAACCCAGCTGCCACCCCAAACTTGTCCCACAGCCTTTGTTCACGGGTGGTGGGATGGGGGTTTTGTTGAAAAGCCTGCCTTGGTGTTTCTGTTGCACTCTCTATCTTGGGGGGAACAGCCAGCTCCTTTTATGCCTTGACGTTCAGCTCTTTTGCTGTTTCCTTTTTCATCTAGATGACCTTCATTTAGATATAAGGAAAAAATCTTTTATAGTAAGGGTGGTGTGGCACTGGAACTGGTTGCCCAGAGATGTGGTTGATGCCCCATCCTTGGAGACTATCCAGGTGAGACTGGATAAGGCCCTGGGAAACCTGATCTAGCTATGGTATCCCTGATCACTGTAGGGCAGTTGGACTAAATGGCCTTCAGAAGCCCTTTAAGGTCCTTTTAACTTTAAGGATTCTATGATTCCATGATCTAGCCATAGCAGAGCAGATGGCACTGCAATGCAATCCACAGAAAAATGTCATTCTTGGCAATTAAGCCTTTAAAACAAAACAAAAAAAATCCTCCTAAACCCCGGAGAAAAAAAAGGTTTAGAAAAAGGTAAAATCGGGCAAGGAAAACCTTTTTTGCCATTATTTCTAATCATTAAAATTGGCAACACTTCAGACATACTTCAAAACAGCAAATGCTTTAGATAACGATCTCTAGCAAAGTTCCCATTCCCTGAAAACTTCTAAACTGTTATAAGGCCAGAAGACCAGGGCTCACTCCAGTGTTCCTGCTCTCTTCCCCATTCTAGCTGTTCTGCAGTGATCCTTGCAAATCCTAAACCATGTTTCTTTTTTTCCTCTTCCCCATCTTTCTTTCCCAGGCCACCACAGAACCCCCAAAAAAGAAACCGGATCCTGTCACTTCGGAGACGGTGGTGATCTGGGGGCTGCGCCTCTGGCAGGTGATTGGTATCTTTGCCATCTTTGTCCTGGCAGTCAGTAAGTTGTAATTCTCTGCCTTGCACCAACTACAGCTCCACCTCCAGTAGGATCTGTGCCTGACCAAATCCAAGGACTACAGACCCAATGACCAAAGAAGCCTCCGGCTGAGGCTCTTTGGTGTCTTCAGTGGCATCACTGGGTTTTATTATTGAGTTAAAAAGAGGGGTAGATGGAGTCTTTGAAGGAACCACAGATTGGCCACAATAGCTTCATACTATAATGCACTGATCCCAGCTGGTGACATCCCAGAGCAGAATGGGATTGCTCCATAGGTGGGACTGTGTCAGCTGCAGTACCATATTCAGCCTCAGATGTATCTCACAGCCATAGACTTCCCTGTCACATTACTTGGCAAAAGTCCTGTCCTATAACACAACCCATACAGGCCACATATAGAATCAGAGAACACCCCAAGTTGGAAGAGACCCATAAGGATCACGAGTCCAACTCCTGGAGGTCTGTGGGCACAAACAGATCTGTCATTAGGGTACCTGGCTGTTATTCTCGGTGCCAAGACTCCTCACTTGATTTTAGCAAGGCTTTTGAGACTCAAAAAAGTCCTTTGGGGATCCAGTCATCAAGATGCCACTGGCTCACATCCAGTCACTGCAATGGGATCAAGAACTCTTCTAGCACACTTTGAGGATCTGTTTGGCTACAGCAGATTCTCCACTCAAATGTCTTAATCCAGCTTCATTCTCTCACAATTCACCTTCTGGGAACATTATTTAAGCTAGCTTCCCTGTGCACTGCAAACTACCATCATAAGCTTGCTTAAGAGAATATCCCTTTGGACAAGGCTATAACCATCAAAGTTCAAAGGAAGGACCTTCTGCTCTCTTCTTGAGCTAAGAAAATCACACAAAAATGGATCAATTGAATGTAAGTCACACTTGATAGACCCATTTCTGTTTCCCATCTTCCTGTTACTCTCTAGGCACTTGTGAAGCATTTAACTAATTCTTTTAGCCAGGGAAGGACATGGCCCTGGGCAACCTGCTCTAAGTAGCCCTGCTTGAACAAGGATTTGGACTAGATGTCCTCCAGAGATCCCTTCCAAGCTCAACCATCCCGTGAAATGAAGTTACGCTGCCTCATCTGTAATTCCTTTGGGTCTGCTTTAGGTCTGGATGAGCAGATCTTCAGAACCTGTCCCTCATCCCTGCAGGTAAATCCCATCAGCTCAGATATTGCCTCAAGTCCTTACCCATTCCAGAGATGACATCACCTCCACATCCTCCAGGGCTTAGGCACACCTAGATCTTCTGTTGTTGTCACAGCCTCTTCTTTGGCTGCTGTAGGTAGTCTGTTGTAGTCCTTTCCCAATAGCCTTCCTATTATGTTCCCATAGGGCTTAAACCAGGGACAATTTTAAAGCAACTAGAAGCATTTTCTTCCCCTTTGTTTTCCCTATCAAGGCAAGCACCACACCCTGCACCCAGAGCCTACAGGATAAGTATTCCTACAGGCTACCTGTTTTCAATCAATGGTGCTTATCCTAATTCATCACATGCCACAACACCCTTGGCAAACAAGCTCAAAAACCTCTACAGAGGAAACTAAACATAGCCAAGTATTTAATCCTGGTGACTCCATGCACCAGGTGAAAAACACATCCAAATTAACAGCAGGAAACTAAGAACACAAGCATACTTGTGGAAGGGTTTATTTTAGGTTGTTTTCTTTGGTTTAGGCACATCCCATTGCAAGGAAATTTACACTCTTAGGTTTGATTACTTTGTTGTTTGTTAGAAAATTGGCTTATATATACCGGGTTGCTTAGGGTTACATGAAATGCCACAAGTCAAATGGTGCACCACTTACAGTAAAAAAAGAAAAGCAACTAAGTTTTCACTCATTACTCAAAACCCTCTGTAGGAAGAAGCAAACATCCATTATGTCAGACTGCTATGGACGCACATTACTAGAGAAGTGGGAAAGTATTTCTGAGGAAATTGCATGGTTTAGGCTTGCTGAGTCTCATAGCATTGAAAAGATTAAATACATGACAACACAGAAGGGATACAGTTCGTAGAACCACACCTTTAGCTCCAGCTTTTTGTTTGAGGAATCCACTTCTCCCAATGAGCACAGCAGATTGAATGCAGCTGTGCCAGCTTAAGCTATGCATTCTGCCAACTTTACCGAGGACAGCAATCATTAGGTAAAGAAAACAACTATTAATGTCTGTCATCCAAAGCAAAAGAGGGCAGGTTCAAACTTAACCACACTAAATTAACTGAATCCCACAGTCAATTCTCACCCATTTCTTGCATCTTGCTCCAGCAACATGTCCCTCTTCCTTTGCTTCATGATCCCCAAAGCAGTGGTGATTCCCCAGCTTTACTGGTAAAGCTGCAGCTCTCAGGAGCAGGCACAGGTTTTTGTACGAGTGAGCTTGAGTTCTTCCTCAGTATCACACTGCAGAACTAGAGAATAAACCTCTTTTCCAATGGAAGGAGAGCTGGAGGTTTTCCTGGTCCCAGAAGCACCTTCCCAGGCAGAGCAGGAGAGCACAGTGATCTCATAGCACTAAGAACAACATAGAATCCATCCCAGGGCTTTTCAGGGCCTGGGCATGATCCCATTGGCTTACAGTCTCACCTCATTATCAATGCTTTAGGGCATTAAGGGTGTGCCTACTTTATTATTTGAGATGCGTGTGAAGTTAATGTTCGTACCAACCGTGATCTGAGTGGTCATGGAGTACTCAGACTGGATTCCTTTTGGTTAAAGTGGGAAAAGAACACTCCAGAAAGATAAAATCCCTGACAAATACCACACTAATGGTACCCACATCCTTAGAACCAGAGCAGATCTTCTCCACAGCAGGACCCCTGTAGCCCACCAGGTGAGTATGGCAATACTCCATGTTCTCCCACCCCACAAGCCTGCTCCTGCTGAATAACAGGGCTTACACATGATCCAGCTGCTACTTCCAACTCTTGCTCTTAGCAGCTTCCACAAGATGGCACCAGCACACAGGAAAAGGCAGAAAAATGGCCAACCTCAAAACCTTTCACATTTCCTTATGTAATAAAAGGAAAAGGTACTTTCTTATATACTTAACACACACCACTGAAAAGAGCAAGCTCACTGAGATCTTCTAAGTCATAGTACGATTTTTGAGAGTGTTGTGAACCATTAATTCTATTGCTTAAGAACAGAAGAGCCAAAGTATTTGCATACCTGTTAGCAAGAGGCTTTCCTGCCTCTCCTGATAGCCAGCTTGCTCAGATGCTGCAAGAAACCACCTTCCAGCTCCTCCTCTCAGCCCAGTCCCTCTCCATCTTTTTCCTTTTCTTCTGTCCTGTGGTAGAGTACAAGTCACGAGAGAAAAGTGTGAATTTGTAGCAGAGGCAGAACAACATCCAGGTGACACTGCAGGTATAACTCTCAAGGATAGAATCACTGAATCGTTAAGGTTGGGAAAAATCACTAAGATCATCCAACCATCAGCCTCTCACCAGCATGCCCACTAAAATGATGGATGCTTTGTTCAATCATTGCATAATTCTTATTCGTTCACTAAAATATCAAGAATGCTTCTTGGTTTTGTTTTGTTTTGTTTTGTTTTGCTGCAACAGGTGAAGGCACATGAAAGCTTATTTTTTAAGTAAGCAAACACTACAGAAAAACCTGGAAGGAAGAAAAAGTTAACAGTTAATATGCAGAGCAGTCAACTAACTGCTGTTCTCTGCCCTCAAGATTTATGTGCAACCAGCCCTTGGTTAAAGGAAAGCTTCTTCTTTGGATGTTTTAATCAGGAAGAGCAAGACCATTATGTTCAGAAGTCTCCTGAGGGTGTGCCCTGAAATCCTTATCAGGGCTGCCTCATCACACCCAGCACAACTGAGTGCTGGTTGATAAGAATGGAGACTACCGTCAAACCAGGGCATCTAGCAAAGACAGCAGTGCCACCTGGTCTGCTTCTCAAAGGGGTTTAGATAAGACAACAGTGCACAACTGAGTTGGGATTCACTGCCAGGAGGACTTGATTTACTCAGGAGTATTGTCGTGTAGATGCTGTGTCGCAAAATTTCTTTGTGAAAGGTATAAATAGGGAACTGAGGCCCAATGCTATCTCTCTGATACAATGGGATTGAGTCAGAATCTCTTGCATAGTCTGTTTCATCCATGAAGATCAATGGCTGAGCACCACCAGGATTATCTTTTGCCAAACAGGATGCTGTGATGGAGTAGATGGCCCTTATCTATCCCTAGGAGAGCCATCAGCCTGCCCAGTGTGTTCTCCACTGGCTCACCCTTTCCTTCTATAGGACACAGTCACAACCATAAACCACAAGCCTGTAGACTGTTTATTTTACTTTGGTGTTAAGCCCACAGATCAGCTGATCACCATGTTTATGTATGTTATTTATGTACCAGTCCCAGGTATGTTGGCACCAGCCCTTCAGAGAGGACATGGGTTGCTCCTACAGAGTCCATCTTCATCTGTACCACAGTATTTGAGGTACCACAGGCAGGGAGAGGATCTTTTATCATTCTTTTTGACTCTTTACTAAAGATGAAGGTGGGATGGCCTGAGGGACTTTGCCAGGAGATTTCCATATGGAGTGGGACAGCAGCAGAGCTGTCAGTTCAACCCATTGCCACATTTGAGATTTGTGGAATCGTGGTCTTGAGCCTTGCATTCAGCTGCAGCATTCTAGATTCATGCCTTGTGCTCAGCTCAAGGCCATGCTGGTTTTGAATTGCACTTATTTATCATGCCAAGGAGCTGCTGAGCTAAGCTGGCACTGCACATTAGACCACTTTGTGCCCAAGAGTAGAAAGATCTTAATTAATTTATATTATTCAGTGCTGCTGGTTCAGTAGCACCAGAACAGCTCTGGTGCCATGGAAACAGGTTAAATCACTACATATAAAATGGTTCAAGTTGGAAGGAAGCTCAACAATCAGCCTGCCATGTCATGAGAACATCCCAATTAAAATCCACAGCAGGTCTACTGTTACTAGGAAATAAGTCTTACCTG